TTCCATAGTTCTGAATATCGTAATATTTTTAAAAAAACATAATTCTTGGAATCCGATGGAAATCCCACGATTATATATATATATATTCGGTAAATATTATAATTTATATCCCGGAAAATAAATTAAAAAAATATAATAAAATTACCAGAAATTATTTAATAAAAAAATATAATTTTTTAATAATAAAAATTAATTAAACATTTTTAGAACCATATTTATAAAATTAATATATTAATATTTAAGATATTTTAAAAATATATTTAAATTTTGTATTTCAATTGAACCAAGGGTCCATATTTAGTAGTGAAAATCGATCATATATATATATCTATTTAATAAAAATTGAGGTTATATAAATTATTTTTTTCCTTAGAAAATGGTTAGATAATCCTTTCCTTTAATTTATAGGATGGATTTTAAAATAATCAATATTGGTTATTGATCCATTATCAAAAACCCAAATAATATTTTGTAGCAAGGGGATTGGTCCAGGTAAAGGTAGTATTTTGTAATATAAGATTATGATTGTAAATGTATAGGGGGATGTTGTTGCATTGTTGGTGTTATTGGTGAAATTGGTGTTGTACTAGTAGTAGTAATAATAATAGCGTAATATAATATAATTTAGTGGAATTATTATTATTATAAATTATGATATATGGAGATGAATTTTCTAGAGAAATATAAATAATATTAATATAATTTTTATTATTTATATATAATATATAAATCGAAGAAATCTTGTTTTAAATGCGGTAATGCCGAGCGGTGGTATTGTTGGGAGTGCGCTACAAAATCGCGAGGCTATTGGCAATATAGCTAATGTACAGAACGAAAAATGGATAAAATTTAGTTCTTGGTAAGAAAATTACGCCGACCCATATCTTCCAAATGGAAGATAGGTATCCAATATTTATATATATTTGGAATTGATCTGTAATTTTGCGCGGCGTGCCAATAAATGGTTAAATTCTTTGAGGCAGCGGGACAAGTACCGACGGCAAGAAGTAATCCTCCAAGAAGTGCGACGGGAAATCAGCGCAAAACCCGGTCTGAAATAACTCAATACCAGGTGACACTTCGAAAAAAATAAATACAATCGCCGGCAAAGGAAGAACCATGCCCGGAACAAAACTAGCGATAGTTAGCTGAGTTATTCTTACTTGAGGAAGGGGAGGGACAGGTCTCAGTCCAACACAATAATTTTTCCTTTGACCCTCCCCCTCCCTTAGTTCCCGGAGTATTTTGAAGCAATTTCGGAAGCAGATGGTTACGGATTCAAATCCTACCAGGGCCGTCCCTTTGTAACTCCCTGGCTTAGGATTTGATAAATATATGTGTGGTTCAGTGTATATACTGTCCAGCTTATAAAATCACCATCTTCTTTGGTTCCGATGTTTTATGACCTATAATGAAAAATTATATATTATTCGAATGGATTTTTTTTGTAAGATACCTTATCATAACCTTGGATTCGATAGAATTCT